ATTTTTTATTTTTATTTAGATTTATCTCAATGAAATATTTAGTGGTATTGAATTGAAATAAATAAATATATTTTTTTTATTTAGATTTATCTTAATGAGATACAAAACAGTAAGTATTTTATTTAAATAAATACATGTATTTTTTTAATTAGGTATATTTCATCGATATGTTCAATAGTAAGTATTTTGCTTAAATATATTTATTTTTGTTTAGATTTATCACAACTAACTGTTTAACAGTAAGTATTTTATTTAAATAAATAAATTTATTACTTTTTTATTTAGATTTATCTCATTAATATATTCAATAGTAAGTGTTTTGTTTAAATGAGTATTTATTTTTTTTTCATTTAGATTTCTCTCATTGAAATATATAATAGTAAGTATTTCGTTTAAATAAATTTATTATTTTTATTTAGATTCATCGCAACGAAGTATTTAACAGTAAGTATTTCATTTAAATAAATAAATAATGTGTTTTTATTTAGGTTTATCTCATTACTATATTCAATGGTAAGTATTTTGTCTAAATAAGTATATTTTTTTTCATTTAGATTTCTCTCATTGAAGTATTCAACAGTAAGTATCGTACTTAAATAAATATATTTATTTTTTTTATTTAGACTTATCTCAATGAAATATATAGTAGTAAGTATTTTAGTTAAATAAATAAATAATGTTTGTTGTGTTTACGGAAGGTGAGGAGGGGACGAAATATTGTGCTCCTCTTCACTGAGGACAGACGGCAAAAGATATATAAAGTCGTAAACGAGAAAAACCGGTGTAAATAAGACACTATAGGACGAGAATACTGCCATAATACTACTCATCGTTGCTCGCCGGAAACGGCCTTAAACGGCGTCGTTTACGTTCCGGGGAAAAACGGCCCTCAATCCGAGCTGACGGAAAGCTGTCAAAAAACGGTGAAAAACGGTGATCGTTTTTCATCGTTTAGGGCATTAATTACGTCGTTTTTTCACCGTTTTAGGCCTTTTAAGACGTCGTTTCAGACGACCTGAATGATGGACCTGGGAAGTTTTAATGAAAATTTTCAATCGAATATGAATAATCAATCATACGAATGTGGTTCAATTTTAGAATATTATTTTTTGCTGAACTTCATTTTTTTTTGTTTGTTAACGGATCGTGGATCCTAAGAAAACCATTTATTATGAAAAAAACAAGTCAATCAGAAGAAATTTCGATCCTACTACTGTATTTAGCAATCTTTTTATTTTTCAATTATGTAAATAGAACTAAAACTGTTCGGACAAAAACTATACATAAATATTGGTTTCAATATGAAATGACTTTCAGCTCTGTACTTCTTTTAATGACGAAATTTTAGGAATTATACTGAAGATAATAAATAAGTCGAAAGTTCATTTTAGTTTCATTTATTGAGTTGATATTTTTATCAGATGCATGTTTATCTGAGATAGAATCCATCAGGTTCAAAATTTTCGAATCTGGATCCGTACTAATAATATTCTCAATAATGTTTTTGTAGTCGAGTTGAACATACAAGATACTTTTTTCGATTATTTAGATTGAGCATGTAATGTATGCCTCAGGACATCTTGATGATATAGTCATAATTTACTTTTTATTTTAGAGAAGTAACTGTCGGATCAGCTCTGGACTCAGTAGACAACAAATTCTCAGATCCTACAAGCTCTAGCCGAGAATTAATAGACAGGTGCAGATTCGGATCCGGAAGTTTTATGTTTTTCCAACTTTTTTCCTGATAGTAGCCAATAAATAGCTAAAACCTTGATCATTGGCTTGGTCATGTACACAGAGGGTAATAGATATTGGTAAAAAAACCTAGAATCCGAACCCGATCATCTCCGGATCAGGTTTGAACTCAAAGTTTTATTTTTTTTAGTTCAAGGTCACAAAAAATGTGAACTCACAGCTTCCTAATGGCTGCTCATTCCTGAAAATTCCACTCTATATGGAGTGTGTAGGTGTGAGCATTCTTTTCATCCGTAATCACACCCACACCGTCAAGATCATTACCTTTGAGAAAAATAACTGCTCACCAGACATAGATCAGAAATCGCTGATCTATTAATCCAATTTTCTTCGTGGACCATCCTTCTATGTTTAATTTATTTCGTTTGAAAGAGCATGGCAGAACCTTTTTCTTCAAATTCTTACTTTTCAACTCGGAGAAAGGTGATTCGAAGTTCAACTAGCCAGAAGCTCGAAAAAATCTCGAGAAACTGTAGATTTTCCCGATTTTAAAAAGTTTTATTGAGTTATTGAACTTCTCATTACTTTTCTCTAAGTTGAACAGTACGAACTGAAAGAAAAAGGTTGTCCCATATTTTGGGTTTTGACAAACCCTCCCAAACAAAGAAAATTAAATTTTATAGACCCAAGAATCACAGAGAATTTTGAGAAACCAAATGAACTATGTTTGATTCTTACTTGGTAAATATCTCTCCCAAACGTAACTGCATTGACCGAAATATTTTTAAGATGATCTCTCTACAACAGGTCCAACATGTCTTGACAGGGGTCACGAAATTTACATGTAAGTTGACAAAATCGTTTTTCAAGAAGGATAAGAGATAATCTCAAGTGTTCGAATACTTTTTGAACCGACTGTAATGTTTTTTAGCTGCTACTCAACAAAATAATTCAAGACATACGCTATTTAAAGAAATCTTCTACGCAGCTTACTTGAAGTCAGAGTCTTCACGATCTCAAGCTCTCATTAATAACATCATGAAGCTTTCATATTTGTTGAATTAAGTGTTTGTATCGATAGAATTTCTGAAATCTAAAGGTTCTTTATGTTAAAGTCATGAAAAAAGTTCTAATCTTAGAGTTCTCAAGTCTTCATTACTGTGTCGGTCGAGGAACTTTTCAGTGTTGTATAGTCAGAGTTTTTAAATTAGTAATGTGGTTATTTCTGCAAGTCTTTTGTAGTTATAGTGTTGAAGCCAGCGGAGTCCTTATGTCATAAAGGTTTTTTATGGGTTGAACTCCTGTGCTTTACAATTTTAGTTTCGTTTCTGTCTTGATGTGTGTGTGCAAATATTTAGTTCTGGTACATTGAGAAATCACATGTGCAAATGTGAAGAAGTTAACGTTAGGTATCAATGAAAATTACTAGGGGTGT